CTTTCAATTTCTTTATCTGGCTGGCTGGACCTATGCTCGCAGTCGTAAGTTAGTTAATCCCCTTGGGCGCCCTCGGGTCATTACACATTACAATGCACCCATATGCCTTTATTTATGGATCTGTCATCCGTCTAGTTAAAAGTGTTCAGATTTCCAGGTTTTACATTTTGAGGATTTTTAACATGGAAATCTATGCATGTTAAATGAGATCGAGAAAAGTACTCAGATTAAGGTGTTAAGATTAGAGATGTGGTACATATGTAAAGGAATCGAGTCTTGGGTCAAGTTGAGCCATTTCTTGGATCTTTGCTTTGCAAGTATAATCAGAGTGGCATCATAAATATTTATGTTATCTTCAGGATCTAGAGTATCTATAATAGAATCTGTTTTTATGTTCCCACCACTAATGAAGTATAGTGAGTATTCACTATTATAGCATTTGTTTTTCTGACCAAATGATTTCTACAAACCCGTACACTACCAGACCAGCTTGGGTGTAAATATCACCATTTGCAAGTACAAAGTGTGAAAGTAAATCAAAGTTTATTACGGATAGCCTTTCTTTGGAATTCCACAAAATATTTGTTTTATGGTAAAGAATTCATTTTATTTTATAGACATTCACAAACAACATTATGTTTGATATTTTCAATCAGTCTTCATCCAGGATTGGGCAAATTGAATCAGTCGCGATACTGACTCGATTAGTTGCCCTAAAGCTCGAGTAATTATACTGGACAAGGGTCCATATTAGGCTAATCAGACTACTGAGTCGATGAAAATGTTGTTTTTTCATGTTTGCACAACTGTGTGTGACATCATTTTAAAGCTGATTCTTACTCTTGATATATGCGGGGAAGAAGTCATAGAATAATCATAGTCATAGAATAGTCATAGTCATAGAATAATCAGATGTTAGTTTTACAGATATAGAAGTATATACTTTGGTCATGGTCATGTGATTCAAAAGTTCGTCAAATGAACTTAATGTACAATTAGTACATTTTGTTAGATTTTTAATTATTTCTTTATTAAAAATTGTCTTTTATTTTGTAACTTGCAAATCCCAAAATTGTTTGCATTTGTAATACAAATATGTTATTGCGTTTATGCAATTATAAGCAATTATTTGACATGTTTGAAAAACTCTCACCAAAAACATTTTGTTCTCTGAAATGATTCTGTGTAGGATTAACGTCCATACTAATTGAGGTCCTAAAAGGTTTTCATGAAAGGTGAAGATCACAAGAAAAGTCGGATTTAACCAATAAACCTGGCATGGTCTTGGGATAAAAATCAAGCATGGTCATTTTTCAATTCTCATTACAGAAATATGCAAAAATCATTGCAAAGCGATTACGCAGTCATATTTGTGAATTGTTATATGCTATTACCACCTCAAAAATCAATGTATTTGACAGACTTATGACAATTTATCATTGCTCCGTTTGCATATTGAGCTGGTATTAATTCAAAAAATTGTCGATTTCCCATTCTGCCCATATTTAGCCCCCATATACCTGTCAAGAATAGGTTGAATTATATTAGCCACATACAGAAAAACCTGTAAAGTTGAACATCTCTCTATTTTGAACACCTCTTCATATGAACACCTTTTAATATGAACACTTTTTCTTATTCCCAATTTTCAAACCTCCCATTCACTCCTATGTGAATAAAATCTTAAATATGAACACCTGCTTCATAAAATATGTCTTATTCATGAGCACCAATTATTACCTAGAATCGTATCATTTACCAGCTCCAAATGCAGTTTATAATAAATATATCTCTGGCTGTTGTTTCCCCAGTGGCTCAAAAGAGGATATCATCAAAACTTCAATCATCTTTATGTCACCACCAGAAGTCTCTCACTCGTTTTTGTGGATGGTAGTCAATGTTCGGCAATCGATGTCTGTAACAAATGGCAGGTAGTGGCCCAATATCATTAGAAAATATATATGAGTATGTTTATTTAGTTCTTAATTGACAATTATGAAGTAGCTATCATTATTAAGCAAAGCATAATCCATAAATGATTATTTTCCTTCTTTCCATCTAAATGATAATCTCATCTCTAGTTTTCGAGCTATAAAAATTTAATTAACTAATTAATAGAAAAGAATGTACTAAGCTGAGATATTATTTAGAATGCACTAATTCATATCCTTAAATCGTCAAGGATAATTATGGGAAATCTATTTCCTGTGTTGCTTTATTGTAAATATTACATTATCTGAAATTTTTACAAACATCTGCAGTAAAACTTAAAAAGTGAAATACATCTGTCAGTGAAATGCTTCCAGAGATTTCAAAGCTGTTCAACTTATAGAGGTTTTACTGGTTATAATCTGTTATAGCTGTATTGTGGAATAAGGTCTGAAGCCAAGATTGATATTTTCTAAGTTTGTCATCTTAATTTCAGTGCTAAGTTACCCAGAGTTACTTAGTCATTGTGAAAAGAATGCGTTCTTTAGAACTGTAGTCAGCAAATCCCAGAATATACTAAAGGCACTCTTGGACTGTATACAATATGTCATTTTGTCAGTTTGTAAGAAGGGTATACATGCAGTACACTAAACTTCAATCTTTAATGAAATAGGAAGATTTTGGATCTAGGGGACATTCCTTTGTTAGCTATGAGGAGCAAATCAATGGAGTTTCCCTATGGGAATAAATGAAATTAGATTAGCAGGGGGTAATAAGGAAATAACAGAATAAGTGAATATATGGGGTAATAAAATGTTGTTGTTAAATAGAGACTACATATACATGTAGTTCGATTTTCCTTCTTAAAAGAGAGCTTCAGCTGTACTAAAAACTATAGGATCAGGACCTATATATAAGGAAACTTTACATATTATTTGTCTGAGTTTGGAGATTGAGTGGTAATTATCATTCTTGAGTGCAAATTACCATTCCAGTTTAACAGGTAATAAGAACAATTCCATTTGTATTATTTAATCTCCATGGTGATTACTATCAATTGGAATTATAGCACCAGTAAGTAGATCACCAGGATTCAGTATTCTTCTCATATGAGGAGGACAATTGACTCCTGCCATAATAACAGTTAACGGCATAGATAAATTAATTCAATACTTAACTCGTGTCTCTTTCAAAAATGCTAAATTTAACACTATTTTGAAAATGTTTGTAAACAATTTAGGGTTATTCTTCATGGCATTATCCTATTCTAGTACTGATATTGGAAATCCACACAAATTGCCACACCTGATCATCTTTTAACAACTGTACAAGAAGTGTATTTTTAAAATTTAAATCTCAAATAAGATAAGGTTTGTGTCAGAATGAAAGTGATTTATGGTTTTACAAAGCTAAAATGACACACCGGCGTATCTTTTAACCTGATGCGTCATTATGGATTTGGAAAAGAATAAATCGCTTTCATTTTGACACAAATCTGGTTTCATCTGAGATTTAAATTTAAATTTGCTTTTATGAAGTGTATTTTTAAAATTCAAATCTCAAATAAAATATGATTAGTGTCAGAATGAAATGGACAAAACAAATACTTACTTCAATTTATTCTGAATCTAAAAATACTGAATCAGAAGAATATAATAACCCAAAGGTTTTCTACGAAAATCATCAATCATCGGACACTTTCAGAAGGTGTTATGAAATTTATTTGATTGATAGCTATAGTTTATTTGTACCATAGGGTAATTTGTCAGGGTAGGTTTAAGAAAAGTTTATGGAAATATGAATATAACATTGTCTAAACGACCCCGAAGACCAATTCATTCTCAAGTAAACTTCTGATGAAATCGCAAGTCGTTCCCTGATTCTTCAGCAATACTTTCAAAACTGGTATATGGGTGGCATTTTTGGGGCTCATCTTGTATAAAATGGAGTTTATGGAGACTTAAAAAATAGTCAGCGGTTAAAAACACTTAAAAGGGCTGAACGTAAAGATGAATTATTGATATTTTGATCCAGTCACTTAAACATTTTTGATTTTGATTGTATGAGGTTTTAATGAAAATATTAATGAAAGGCAAGTTTATTTGAGTAAAGTTTGATATTTGTATTAAAATATGTGCTTTTTCTATAAATATGTTTTAAAACATTTCATATAGAAATTATTCATATTGGTCTTATGATTATACATACATTTAATATCTGTTATTACATGAATTGCCTTAATGTGTTTCTATTCATTAGGAATGTTTTACTCTCTAAAGACAGGTAAATTCTATTGATTCTGTAGATTTTGCATTCATTCATAGGAGGTAGTTTTTAGTCTGTAACATTGAGTCAATGGCCACATTTGTACCGAAGTATTCTAGTTAAAGGCCCCATGAAAAGTTTGAAAATATTGTTTAATTGTGGCTATCCACAATAAATACCATCAATGGACATTGATGGTATTTATTTTTGATAATTTCACTCACTTTATACTAAATATTAATGATAATTAATTATTTGACTTCATATATTTTATAATTTTGACTTCATATTTTTAATAATTCCTTACAATTACTGTTCTTTATATTATAATGTCATTGTTTCCATGGTTACAACAATGAATTTGGATATATGAAGCTAAGAATGTTTTTGTTAACATATCGAGGGTGAAACTTCAGGTAATTATATCGTAACATGTGTATCATCTCATCTTGACTGTAACCTTGGTGATGTTGCCATGGTTACATGTTTAGATAAGGCATTTGGGTTAATAAACACAGGGATACCAAAATAAGATTTGTGCTACATATAGCCCTAATCAGCAAGTTCATCATGCAAACTCTAAAATAAAGTTGCTCTTCATAATTATAGCAGGCAAAGGAATATTTAGGGTGATTAGGGCACATTTTTGTTTTCTTGTGAATTCAGTTGAAATAGACGTGCAAATTAATTTTAGATATATTCGGAAATAAAATCTCGTTATTGTTATATTGTATTTTCAGATTAGGGCTATGACATCACAGTACAACTGATTCCTTATAAGGAGACAATCATCCAGTCGGACAACAATGGCTTCTATATCGCGTGTAATACTGGGGCTCCTCCTATTTTGGATGTTCATCCTCATGTATATGAGCTCAACATTGTTTCAATCAAATGACTTCACCGAGCGGACAGAAAGACAGCTGGCAAAAGCAATAGAAGAACTTGGAGCACTAAAAAATCAAAACAACGAATTGAAAAATTTGGCAACAGAGTTACAGTAAGTTTCATTATCTAGATTTTATAAGATCATCAGCACTGTATTTAGAATAATGAGGACCCCCTCCTACTTTGGGTTATCTTCTCCAGATCTACGCCCTCCCTTCTCCCTTCCCCTCCCTCCTTGTGTCCAGAGAATTGACATTGAATTGATCTATTTTAAGACACAGTAAAACTTAATAGTATTAATAGTATGCCATTTTGATGTATCGAAGGCATTCCTCTATATAGGTTTTACTGCCCTTTTAGTGTTAAACATTTTAAAAAACATTTTGAAAAAAAAAACAAATGTAACTTTAGTTCCTACCGTGATATGAAGTTGGATCTGAGAATAACTTTTTAATTTTCAGGGGTATTCAGTCAAAAGTCCCTTCTGGAAAAGGTCATAATTCTGCATTGGTGAAACTGCAGAATCAACTGAAGGAAGCAAATGATGAGCTAGACAGGTTAAATAAACATAAAGATGGTGTGAACATAAATATGAATCAACCAGGAAACACAGGTAGGTGGTTGCAATTACTCTGCTGTAACAAACTTCAAGGCTAACAGCTAAATATTGCATCTTTTTTTGTAAGGCCAGTGCTTAAAGACAAATAAGAGTTCAGGGGTGGATCTGGGAACCAACAAGGGGGGCCCAAACTTCTGGTCTGAGAAAAAATGTTGGGCCCTTAAAAACAAAAAATTTTGAGGCCCATTTTCTTCAAAATTTGGCCTGAAATAAAAAATAAGGCCCATTTATGATCAAAAAGGCCCACTTTTGTAGCCTTTAGGCCTTTTTTGGCTCAAAATTTTTTGGGCCCAATTTTTTTTTCTGGGCCCCCCCCCCCCCCCCAGATCTGCCAGTGGAGTTGATGGTCTATTACTGAAGTCCAGCTACTGCATGAAGACCAAATGTCTACAAAACTACTAAATGTATATCAGAACAAACACCAGAAATAATGTCACCTGCTCTTTGTAAGCTAAATGTATCATTATGCTATGCTAATTATGCTATAAATGAATTAATAAATTGAAATTGAATGTTCTTTGAATGTCAATGACTGAAGGCCAGTGCTTTAAAGGTGCAACAATAAGTGTAGTGAGGCCATTCAACGATCATGGACCTGTGTCAAAATATATTTAAGTTCGGTTATTTCTTTAAGACTAACATATATTTTTATTATTTCCAAAGAAACCCTCTGGATGAACATTATTTCAGCTGATATTCCTCTTGAAACGTGGTGAATCTTTAAAATCTATAAGTCGGACTCCCTCTATAGAAGCTTTGAACTGAATTTACACTTCTTAATGCTGAAATTGATAGTTTATCCATACATTTTAAGAAAATAGGTATGTCAAAGAAGATGTTAAACCAAATGTTGCCCTGATAGCTCAGAAAAAGTAAATTTTTTCAATTTTTCCCTCTACAGGCCTTGTTGCCCCTTTAAAGTCACTGCTGTGATTAATGTTGAAAAAAGAGATAATCCATAAGTAAATGTTCACTTTAGCGAGACATGTTATCTCTTTAAATCCATTCAGCTTATCTAATGGAGTCATTAGGCTTAATGTAGATGTCAACTTGACTTCTAGACACTTTGTTTTCCAGTGCTTTACTGAGTAATTTAATTTGTACATAAGGTGTGAACTATTTTTACCATTCTTAATGACTTTCTTATTCACTTGTCTTTCCTTTTTTCTTCAGATGGACCAACTTTGGAACATGAAAAATTACGTCGTAAAATTGAAAATGGTGTCACAGAAATATGGTATTATGTGAAATCTCAACTACAGAAAACCAAAAAGAAATCCGATAATAGTGCAGTGAAAGAAAGCATCGATGAAATCCTCCAAGATGGCACAATACAACAGAGGTTTGTATTACAACAAAAAATTGTAATTTGAAATCGTTATTAATCAGTTGACGAAGAGGCTGTTCTTAATAAATACAGGAAACCTATTGCTTTCATAACATATAATTAGTAGGAACTTTGAATATACCTGATTATTTTAAGTTGTTCAAATAGGAAGACAAGACATTTGGTTTTGTTTTATAACAGAAAATAGGGAAGAGGCAGTTTGACATCCATTTTTTAATTGTTATATAAAATGCAATTTAGAACTAGAAATACCACATTTAATATTCTGAAGGTTAGATTCTGTCTTTAAAGGACGATTCTCGGTTTGGAGAACGAAGTTCATCAAGCTAAATGAGCATTATCCCTGCTTCGGACAAATTTAATTTTTTTTACATAATATAGATTTGAATGTTTTCTTTTGAATAGTCATAATTTAATTTGGGTAATATTTCTAGATTTTTCTCAAAACATTTTTTAGTGCAGTTCACTGATGAACTTCTTTCCCCAAATCGAGACTTGTATTTTATTAAATCGGTCTAATTGAGCGTTATCCCTGCTTCAGACCAATTTGTTATTTTTACATCTTGTAGATTTAAATGTCTTCTTTTGAATATTCATAGTTTAATTTGGGTAATATTTCTGTATTTTTCATGAAAAAAATTATTAGCCCAGGAGACTGTTCTCCAAACCGAGAATCGTCCTTTTGCTTCATCCATGATCAATCCTCAACAACTTGCATATATCTGATCATAGAATCTGGAGAATATCCAACTTTTTTAAATAATACCAATATGTAACTCATGCCTTCATTTTCCTTTGATCTTCTACTTACAAGCAACTACAATCTTCTCTTTCTATGACATTATGTGCAGTTAGAAGTTTAGCCAATGTTGTCTTTGGTGGAACCACCATATTTAAAGCTATTGTAAAACTGTGAATGCCATTTGGACACCGAATGCAACTTGGACACAGAATGCCACTTGGACACTGAATGCCACTTGGACACCGAGTGCCATTTGGACACCGAATGTCACTTGGACACCGAATTCCATTTGGACACCGAATGCCATTTGGACACCGAATTCCATTTGGACACTGAATGCCACTTGGACACAGAATGCCATTTGGGCACCGAATGCCACTTGGACACAGAATGCCATTTGGACACCGAATGCCACTTGGACACAGAATGCCATTTGGACACTGAATGCCACTTGGACACAGAATGCCATTTGGACACAGAATGCCATTTGGACACTGAATGCCACTTGGACACAGAATGGCATTTGGATTAGCCAAAAGTGTTCAGATAAGCAGGTGTTATGACAAAATTGGGATCAAGAAAAAGTATTCATATTCAGAGGTGTTAAAATAGGTAATCAGATAAACAGGTTTTACTGTATACTTAATCAATTTTTTTTATTTTAGGTCTATACTTACTGATCTCCTTGAGTTAAGTGAGGAGGGAGAAACAGACAAGTGGCGCCAAAGAGAGGCTGACGAGTTGAGTGAAATTGTCCAAAATCGTCTCCACTACTTACAGGTTAGTAGACTCATACATCTTTTGAAATATGACAAATTGTGTAATTTGCATAATGGTTATGGGAAAGCGGCATTATTATTGAAATATCACATCCCTGCATGAATTAAATGTCCTGGTAGTTCAATGCACAGAGTTGAGAAAATTAGGCCTCCGACAATATGAACTACAGTCAGTTATACATGTCTCAATTGGAACATTTCGACTCAATTATAAGGCTCATTGCTATAGTAATAAATAAAGTTGACTGCAACTGAACAAAAAGTCCTAAAACTGAAAACCTCACAGAACTACCATTTGCAGCCGAGATTTCTTTCCGATTGTCATTTGACTGGCATGGCCAATATTGCTATACGATTACCATAAAGTTCATCTTCAGACTATATACTTGGTCTGGAGATGAACATTATGGTAATATTATTACCAACTTGTTCCATGTCCGTCGAAAGAAGATTATTAGTGGAATCAATTGGTGCAAGGCCCCCATAGGGACCTTGCGTTTTCATACTAAAGTTCGTTTTGGAATTTTTTCTTATTGTTCTATGTATTTCAAGACATTTTAGAGACAGGGCCCTTTTTCTAAAGCCCTTTTTAGAAAAATAATTGAGATTCCAGAGGATACCCATTATTACTGCTTTTTAACACAATGTGAACAGAAAATTCAAATTTCAAACTCCTTATCTCACTATAATTCACCAATTGAGAATGGAAATTGAGCAACCAAACTTGGCACAAAGTTGGACCCTAAGATAAGCTCTAATCTGAGCTGTTTGATCTTTTGTGAAATCATACATTTGCCTAGCAACCACATAGCAACCATCTAAAATAACACATTTTACAATATAAATCCACTTAATATATGCTAGGATGCTATAAGACCATTACAAAAAGTCTTCTTATCCCAAAATACAACAATTCAAACATATTTACAGAAGTGACATCACCATGTTGCATAGCAACAACATGGCAACAGGTTACAATGCCCATTTTGACATTTGAACACCATATTCCTATTATATGCTCACTTGTATGCTTTTGGATCCCTTCCACATTATTTCTTAACATACAGAAATTGTATTTAAGCATAAATGATGCAGTTATGCCTGACCATTTTCCCTAGCAACTTCCTAGCAACGGCTTAGAATAATGCTTAAATTTGCCTAGCAATGACCTAGCAACAGCTTAAAATAGCAATGTTTCTCATAAAAATCTCACTATATATCTACTATTATGTAATATGTATGTCTTTTAATTTATAAAGCTTTGTTGCTGCACACTCAAAAATCTGTAGTCTCTTGTGTAAAGCATGATGGGACATTTGTTGTCTTATGTTTATTAAACTACAAAAGTCCTGCAATTCATGTTTCAGTTCTGAGATAAAGTAAACACAAAATATTCATCGTATTTATCCTTGTTACATTTTCAGCATTAATACCCCTAAGATAATACTCTATTTGGGTTAATTGCTACAATTTCCTTTGCAATTGCATAGTTTTGGTGCAGTAAAATACACCATGGCATTTGCAGTTCCCTTTGCAGTCACATTTGGTGCATCCACATTTAATTATGACTTTACATGCCTCGGATGCTTGCGACAGTATCGTCCATCTGGGTACGCCCAATCCTGATGCGCTCCTAAACCATTCCATTGGTTTAGGAATTGTTGAAGGAAGAACTGGATCCAATATATGCCTTTGCCCCCATACATGTGCTCCTTGGAGCATGACATTATAGAGTGCTGCATCGCATGTTGGAGGTAATCTATCGGTATCCATCCGTCATGAGTGAACATGTGCCTGCGCATTTGTCTCGCTGTTTGTAGGCTGGTAAACTACGATAATGAACCTCTCAATTGTGCCCATAACTTCTGTTGTTGTTACGGTTGATGGGCGATCTACTAGAGTCAAAAGGACACCTGTTAGATCAGTACATAAGTTCCATTGCTTGAAAACTGTCACCTTGCTCTGATGGTAAACTCCAGGCATGGTATCAGTTCCAGTATGGGTGTGGAACATTGGCAGCGCACATGATCTTTGTGGTCCTAGTGCTCTAGCAATCGCATGATCTGGAATGTAGTGATAGGTTTTGCCTTTTGAAAATGCTACATACACCTCAATCTGTAGCTCAGAGGCACAGGCTAAGGCTATCACAATAACATTTCTGTCCCCTGATCTTATCATAGATTTTCTTTTCCGACACCATGAGACACATGCAAAAACATATATGTAGCTGCCTCATGACATTGTTAATTTTTCACATTTGGATAGTAATATTCCACTGAACCCAGCATATGGGTTTATGTATCCCAGCAGGGCGTGTTCAAAATACTAGTATATAGATTTTAAATCAAGACACCATATTTTACTGATTAAATCGCTAGGTCAAGGTTATACTTGTAAAATGCTTAAAATCCTATCTGGGATTTGCTGAAACATACAAGTCATTAATTTCAAATTTTCAAGTTTTACCACTTTAGATGCTGAAGGATATAGGAATTGTGCAAAGAGCTCTATCTTTCAAGAAAGTCTTGCCAATTGCTTGGTAGTTTGGTGTTAGGATAGGATTTCTCAGAAACAATGACAACAAGATAGAGTTCTTTGCAGTACTAGCAACTGTTTCAAGACATATTATGGCAGACGATAGAGTCTTTGTCTCCACCATTGAAGGAGAGTGCATCAGTAATCCTGCTAATTATGCCATAATAGTCCCTGCTCCCAGGAAGAGGCAGATACACATATGTTTTTGGATGTGTCTCATGGTGTCCGAAAAGGTTGCAGGACATTTATGATAAGATCGGTGGAAAGTAATGTTGTGATAGCCTAATAGCCTGTGCCTCTGAGCTACAGCAGTTTCAAAACTAACACTACATTCCAATTTATGAATTTGCTTGAGCACTAGGACCACAAAGATCATGTGCGCTGCCAATGTTCCATATCCTTACTGGAACTGAGAACCACATCTGGATTTTACCATCAAGCAATGGAACTTATGTAATGATCTTACAGGTGCCCTTTTGACAAGAAGCACATGTATGGGGGCAGTGGTATATAGTGGATCCAGTTTTTCCTTCACCAAGCCTATGGGGATGGTGTAGGAGCCCATCAGAATTGTGGGTGCCCAGATGGACAATATTGCCCAAGCATCCATAGCATGTTAAGTCATAATTAAATGTGGATGCAGCAAATGTGACAGCAAAGGGAACTGCTTATGCCATGGTGCATTCTACTGCATCGAAATAAAAATAAAGTATTATCTTAGGGGTATCAATGCTGAAAATGTATCAAGTGTCAATGTGATGAATCAGAACTGAAACGTGAATTGCAATTTGACATATGTAAGACAAGAAATGTCCCATCATGCTTTACACAAGAGACTAAAGATTTTTAAGGAGCAACTATAAAGCTTTATAAATTACAAAAGACATATATATTGATTTTCTTCTAGTCATATAGTGGATATATAGTGAAATTCTTATGAGAAACATTGCTATTTTAAGATGTTGCTGGGTCGTTGCTAAGGAAATATAACCTTTATTTCAAGCCATTGCTAGGGAAAATGGTCAGACATAACTGCATCAATACATTTGCTATATGTTAAGAAATAATGTGGAAGAGATCCAAAAGCAGTGAACATATAATAGATATATGGTCTGCAAATGTCAAAATGGGCATTGTAACCTGTTGCCATGTTGTTTCTATGCAACATGGTGATGTCACTTCAGTAAATATGTTAAAATTGTTGTATTTTAGGATAAGAATACTTTTTTGTAATGGTCTTATAGCATCCTAGCATATATTAAGTGGATTTATATTGTAAAATGTGTTATTTTAGGCGGTTGCTATGTGGTTGCTAGGCAAATATAAGATATCACAAAAAATAAAAGCCCTAAGATTAGAGTTTATCCTAGGATCTAACTTTGTGCCAAGTTTGGTTGCTCAACTCCCATTCTCCATTGATGAATTATAGCGAGATAAGAAGTTTGGAATTTGAATTTTCTATTAAAATTGTGTTAAAAAGCAGAAATAACAGGTATCCTCTGTAATCTCAATTATTTTTCTAAAAAGGGCTTTAGAAAAAGGGCCCTGTCTCTTAAATAACTTTAAATACATAAAACTATAAGAAAAAACTCAGAAACAAACTTTAGTATGAAAATGCAAGATCATTCACCAATTGATTCCGCTATATGAAAGATTACCCAAAGTGGAACTACTTAATTTTTATACTGGTTGGGCGCTTGAAATTAATGAGTGGGGTCATCTACCAGAATACTGTCCATAAAAACAACTAATGTCAAGTACTACTGAGGGCCATGTTTTTCGAGTTTGTGCATTAAATAACCAGCCCAATAACAGTTTGGGTTACCCCAAAAGACTGTTAAGTAACAGCATCATATATTATTTATATATTTAGTTTTAGTTTTTCTGGGGATTAGCATCTAAACATGTATTTTCATCATATGGTATAATTTTGAGGACAAATGCTGAAATCAGAAGTAATGAGATTAAATAAAAATTGAAACAATTTATTTTATGAAGAATCCTATATCCTGTAGTTCTGTAATATCAAGGAAAATTTCACTGGGAAATTTCTTATTGGGCTTATTGCTTTTAAATAGAAGAATCCTCTATTGTAAATACATTTAAAACCCCTCGCTTCATAGTCTTTCATTCCATTTGCTGTACAATATAAATGCATGGCTAATTTACTTGAGTTATTTTATTCATGTTTTTTGTTTAGTCTTGCATGCTTTAGATGTATGATGGTCTAGCATGGGAATAGGCTTCACAGGTAAATGGGTGCACCTTGTGCAAATAGTGCTGTTAACATAGTGTTTCTATGACATCAACAGATATGAATAGATGATGATGACGTTAAATGATTTTGTGATATCATTCCTTTAAATGTCATCTTTTCATATTTGTTCTTTTGCTAACAATGGTTTACTGTTTTTATTGCTTGCATGTTGATTTGTTGAACCTAACATTAGGGTGTGAATATTAATTTTGGAAAAAACAATGTTATATTAAGTAAACTGATTATTAAGTTCTTTTTATAACTATAGGGTGTCCCAGAAGTAACAAGACCAGTGTAGACGCAATGGTTTATTAATGGATGGTCCGTCAATTGACGGATGGGCCGTTCATAGAGAGATTTCCCAAATGCGCATGCCAATATAAATACTTCGTTTGACGTTTCATCCGTCAAATAACGGGTACCTGTAATTTGATTCATGTTCTGTCAGTTTCTGAATCGTCCGTCAATTGACGGGTGTCCTTGGTGTCCTTAATTATCTTTATTATCGCCCAGCATGGCCGAGGCCAGGGACCAGTTACAGATACTTGCGTATAGAATATTTAAACTCCAATATGTTGCAATGTTTCATCCGTACATGAGATGGACTTCACAGTTACTAGCTTGTACAGTGATAGTATTAGACATGTCAGATTATTTCTTGTTTAATAGCACGAACAATTAACTGACTGGAATAAGACGATTCCGGGAAGACGATTCACTTGTTTAAGAAATTAACCCTGGTCTTTTGTTGGTCATTTAAATCATTATTTTATAAACCCCATTTTAGAATATATCCTTTCCATAATAAAATTTTGTATAATTTGTGTATTCACGCTGTATCAAGACGAAATTACTGCTTGGGAACCAACACAAAGTTCATTCTTGTTTTGTAGTGTTTTTCACCTAAATATATGCCAAATTTATTCAATGGACTTTAGCTATGAATGCATTCATTCCACATTTGTCATAGTCCCGGAGTCATTATATTTGCGTATTTATTTTAATTGATGTGAAAATGTATTTTCTAAAGGTTCCTATCGAATTCCTTCAAAATGAAAAGTTTAGATTATATTAAAATAGTAATTCTCAATGCAATCGCATGAGGCAGTGTCAATTGAAATAATTGAGATGTTGCCAATTTACTTTCTAAGTATAACATGAGTTGTGAATTTCGTAGTAAAATCTTCTAATCTGACTTATTGAAAAGCTCGTTGAATGAATTAATTCTCTTGTCTTAGTTTTTTCTTGAACAATGAAATCAAATTTATATTTGATGAGTCGGCTCATGACTGCATTCCACTAAAATAAGAGTTCACTTCAAAATTTAACGAAATATCACAGAAAGAAGAAAAAATATCAAAATTTTCTTCGAATTTATGATGCAAACAATGTCTTCTGCGATGTCCTTGAACAATTATATTAATTTGTTTTTATATTTAATGAGAAATATATGTTTTAAATAAATAATGATAAATAAAATAATCGAAGACGGGTCTAATTCATAATTTATGATAATGAGATACAGGCTTAGGTCAGAAGGTCAGACTTATTAGCCAATGAGAGTATCTCAAGATAGGTTTCATAAACATGCAATTCTAGAAGCTTTAGAGGGGGTCTTTCAAGGTAGGTTTTATAAGTATGTAATTCCGCAAGATTTAGAAGGGGTCTTATGTTAATGTTTCTATTTGCAGAAGAAAACTCGGGAGAAAACTATAGATCAATTCAATAAGTAATGGCTAAATCTATGGCCAGATGTATAGCAAATATTAAAAGAGTTTTCTAAAGCGAACATTGCATGTTATCTGATGAAACTAGTTACATTAATTTGCCAAAAAAGACATCCCATCAGGAGGGCAGGTATTGGATGTAAAAGCTTAAAATAGATGCATCACCATCGGAGGGTGGTTTATATTGGATGTAAAAGCCAGAAATTACAGTACATCTAATTGCAAACCTTAAACCACTCACTCCCTATCAAAATTGTTTGTTTTGGTGTTTATCCTGTGTACTGCGCTTCGTCTGAACTTATTGTATATTTTGAGTTAGCTGATCAGTATAATAACTACCAATGTGAGCTAGAAGTGCACACAAAAAGACCACTTGTCATGGTGTAAGGTTTGAAAATAGATTTACTGTAGTTTCTGCCGATCTTACATTTAATATCGTCTGGCAAACGACCAATGTCGTAATCGCTTTTGTTTTTTTCATTTCTTGCTTTGTCTGTAGATAACAAATAGAAAAATGAAAATGTAAAATGAGTCAGGGAATGATTGTTTCCCAGTCCGTAAATTAACATCAACTTTTTATTTCCTAAGATGAGGAAAATTCTAAAATTCTGCGATGATCCATGGCAGGCAGTCCATTAATACGTAGAGTACATTCCTTTCTTGGGACACAAATTTCTTACAACAGAAATACGGAAAGTTATCGTATAAAAGAAACTTTAAAGGCAATATTGACATATGATGGGGTGCAATACACATGCATTTGGAATTAAAATAGGGAGTATGACTTCGCTTTAAATGCCGTCGCCAATGTTAGAATTAATTATATTTATATGTATTATTTATCTTTTTGATGTTACATATTGGTCCTCGGAGCGTAACATATTGCACTATACAATATAAAATCGTTGATTCTTCCTTTTTTTATCGTGAATGAACGGTGAAGTTCTAGGCCTAAATATAAGATTGTATTTCTTATTAAAGCGTGGAATCCTGAACTCAATGTAACTATTATTTACTAATAAACATGCGAATCATTTTTATTGCGTACACATATGTACATGCCAGACATACATGTATGGCTGAATTACACTCGCAAAATAATGCATGATGATGAAGAGATTTTCATGCTGGAATCAACCAGCTGTCTTTGACAGGCTGTAAAATATTTAGCACACATAGAAATGTAAAAGCACACATGGAAAACATGCGTTGTATGCAGCACATTCGTCGGATGTAATTGGTTTTTCTCCACAGCAGTAAATTAAATTCCAAGACATAAATAACTGACCCAGTCTTTTATTTTGCCGGTTTCCAATTCAAATTAACGGGTTTTCTTTATCCGTTAATTAACGGATGATAAAAAAATTGAAACAATGATCTGTCAATTGAGGGACCATCCATTAATAAACCATTGCGTCTACACTGAAGACTGGTGCGTTGTACTATTAATCTCAAGCATATTTTAGATACAAGAAATGTAGTTTATTTAATGATTCATCTATGGATAAAGGTTTTGAGCGCTGGTGTAAAGAATATAGATTTCAAAAATATCATTTTGACTAAATTTTAAATGTTTAATGATGAAAATCAAGAGTATTCTACTCTCTTTTGTATTAAAAACATTAATATAATACCATCGCAAAATCTGTTACTTTTGGGACACTCTGTACATGTTTATTTGTAAAGCTTGTTTGATTCCATAACTTTTTTTCTATTTTGAATATTTTTAATGTTTATTTACATTATCTTATTCTCATCTTTCATAGATTAGAGAAAATCCTTATGTTATGTTAAACTGTTCTGGTGTTGAATAAATATCTTTTACTGATACAGTTAAACACATACATTATGAATACCATAATAAAGCTGCAGGGGTTTCATTACTAGTAGATATAACATGTAATTTTATCTAGGTGTTTTGCAATTTTCCAATTATTTTGCTTGACAATTAATTTGTTCTTTGTTTGAAATTCTAATGAAATCTCTGTATGCAGCCAAAAACTCTGAAAAGCAAGCAAGGTACCACCAAGTTTCAGAGGAGCTTCCATCAAGTTTCAAAGGAGCTTATATCAGGTTTAAAAGGAGCTTCTATTCAGTTCCGAAGGAGCTTCTATCAAGTTCCAAAGGAGCTTCTATCAAGATCCAAAGGAGCTTCTATCAAGATCCAAAGGAGCTTCTATCAAGATCCAAAGGAGCTTCTATCAAGTTCCAAAGGAGCTTCTATCAAGATCCAAAGGAGCTTCAATCAAGTTTCAAAGGAGCTTCTATTAGGTTTCAAAGGAGCTTCTATTCAGTTCCAAAGGAGCTTCTATCAAATTCCAACGGAGCTTCTATCAAGATCCAAAGGACCTTCAATCTAGTTTCAAAGGAGCTTTTATCAAGTCTCAAAGGAGCTTCTATCAAGATCCAAAGGAGCTTCAATCAAGTTTCAAAGGAGCTTCTATTAGGTTCCAAAGGAACTTGTTTGGAATAAATTAAACATATACTCAGATAGTAGCACAATTCTGTTGATTACTCATTCTGTCAACTGAGATCCTCAGAGATAATGGGGATATCTGCAAGTCCCTATTTTAAGTGACTTTTTCAATAATATGATTTTCCACCTTTGGTTTATTTTATTTTATTTATACAAGATTAAACTCTTGATAAGCCATATCATCTCAACTCCTGTTTCTTGTAAGTTTATATCTGAACAGCTTATATTAAAGCAGGCCTACCCAAAAGGGCAAAAATATAAGATAAATTTCACTTGAAAATAGATCCCTTGCTGAAATCCTCATAACCGTAACTTTAGTAGAATCCTGATAAATTTAGCTCCAAGCAGTGAAACCATATTATGAGGGAGCCTCTGCAAAGTATACTCCTATTATTAGAAGGGCAATTATGAACAGGAGATCTCATTATACAAGCCATAAAGACCATTAAGGTTTTGTCAGGCTTGCAACTGAGCTGCCATATAAATATAATATCAAATCTGAGCACTCTTCCCAGTTCAAATGTAGCACAATTCTGAAATGCTTAATTCCCTCTATCAGATCAGTAACATGCACATTAGGAACGTCTGGAAAATTGTTTTGCATGAAATAAAGGTAATTTTAAATGCCAGCTATTATTTCATGTATACATTAAACCTGCACATCGCTCCAAAACGCAATATGTTGACATATATTGTTTTTACATTTTCAAGCTCTAATATAAAGTTTATGTAAATAAAATTTATTTTTTTCTGCGTAATATCAAAGAACAATCATTTAGTTAAAAAAATAAAAAGGGGAATGCGGGATTCTAACCCGGGCCTCCCGGGTGCTCGGCGAGGATTCTACCGCTACACCACCGTATTATTGTGAGTGGAGGAAGTAATTAAACGCTACTTATTTTGAATGCAATGATTCGGAAGTGACATCACATTCTTCATTTAGAAACCTTTCCAAAATCATATCGCCGGCTCCGATCGAAGCAAATTCAGTGAAAAATCTTTGAAATGACACATTTATCGTAAGTATTTCTACACAAGATTTGCCCCATTTGTTCATCATTCTATAATCTTTCATCAAGCTCAAAATGATAAAGTTCACCCCCGAAACAACCCAAGATTGCGTTTCGGAGCGTAGTCCAGCTTTAATTATTGTAATGATGCAATTTCCTTATATTCATTTTTGTTTCTATAATTGCATAAGATAAATACAAAATAAGAATTAAAATACAAATTAGAATTATCATCCCTTGTTTAAATCTGTGATTGTTGTGGTAGATGTAATTTCCTGAGATTGGAAAATAGATTCATTTTCTTGGGATTCATTTCAGCTTGAGTCAACTGCATATTGGTATATTTAAAATTATTGGTATATTAAAACTTGTCTTTTAAAAAGTGCTCAGGTATGGCAATGTTGAAGTTCTTCTATGATTCAATTTTTAAATATCAGAGCATAATCGACAACCTAATATTCATATTTTTACCCTTTAAGATTGGGTTTTGATATCTTTATTTTGAAATGTAGCTTTTTAAGTAGGAAATTCACCCAAAGAATAATTCAAACAAGACATTCTTGGTTTGTTAAATCTGAAGTGATTTATAGTATTTATTTGTTCAAACCAGATTTGGATGTTTTAATTCAGGTCTTTTACTGGGAAATAATAATTTGGAGGTTAAGTGACAAATCTTTCATGGCTTGCTGTAGGGGCCTAAATGAATATTTTTAACAGGGATATATATTATTATAGGCCAACTCTGATCATGTCTTTGTTCAGAAATGCATGAAATTATACTTCTTTTCTCCCTCCATGTATGTGGTTAAAGTGTCATTTCTATATGATATTCTTCGTTGATTTACCTCTAACACAATCTGTTATTTGAACATGAAGGTCATGGCAATATATTTCTTGTAGATATGTTTTATAAGTAAATATCTTTAATTTGTATTGAGTAGTCTACAATGTAAATCGTGTATGTTATTAGATGCAGATTGGGATATAAACTAAAAGATAGAATAATGCGTTTAATTCATGTCTTATTAGTATGTCTTATATCAAACATTTGAATAGATTAGTCTCTAAAGTAACTTGACGCAAATTGGGATATTAATGAATGATACTTTTAATTCACAGTTATTGCTCTTTGTATATTTATGTCTTAAGAAATAGGTATTGATACTAATTACAAATAAGATGTAATTGATATGCCCTTTAAATGTCATGTTTATGTCAATACAGTAATTCCCTCTTATTCTAAATTCTCTATTTATTTTGTCAGTAAGATACATTCCAAGGCATTGTGCTGTGTTTGATAGTTAATTTGTAAAACTGTTCTTGTATTATGATTTATTTCAGATAACTACTATTCTAGTAATTAGGGCAATACAGTAAAACCTGTATATCTGAACACTTTTCTAATCTGTACACCTCTCATTGTGAACACTTCTTTCGTCCACATTTTTTAATCTGCTTAAGACTCTCTTATTAGAAAACCTCAAATTTGGACACTCAATTGGTACACTTGGCCAGTTCCAGTGGTGTCAAGATTAGGCAGGTTTTACTGTACTAATAAATCACACTTACAAATTTATTAGAAAACAATCTTTTCAACCTACTTGATGTATAGCAGACTATTTATGATTTTTAGATTTTGAGTATTTTGAAGTGTTGTTTCTAGTTATTCCATATTCATACCAGCTGAGAAAGTACATTTAATTGTACCCAGCTTGTAACACTGAGCATTACTTATGGGGAGGGGGTTACCTTTTAGTAGTTTTTCTCTCGATCAGAGGGCTCCTTTTCCTTTCAGAAGCAGAAGAACACAGATTTTGTTTTCACTTATTAAAGCCCACGATATGGATTCTTAACAGTATGCAAAAACTCAAAATACACAATTTATTTTTTCCCATTTGAAATTCAAAATATTTTCCTAAAAATTTAAGCCCAAGAATATTATATCTAAAAGAATTCAAACAAAGATCCTAAATTAAAAAAATCATATATTATATTTAAAAAGAGATGATTGTATCATAATTGTGTCCATTTCATTTATAGAACCCATCAGACTGTGAATCAGCGAAGAAACTTGTGTGTAACATCAACAAGGGATGTGGGTACGGGTGCCAGCTACATCATGTCGTCTATTGTTTCATCATCGCCTATGGGACAGGACGTACACTTATTCTCGACTCTACAGGATGGAGGTAGGCTCGCTATACCAGAATTCCTTAGGGATCATATTAAAGTTGTATCTTTATCACCACTGGGTTTAAAACTTATAACTGCCGGATGGGAATTACTTTTTCTCTTGACAATGAACTTGGAAAAACAAGTTGGCTATAAGACAATGAACTGAGTGCCATATTTGTTAATTCCGGCAATCATATTTCATCCAGATGTTTCGTGATGCAAGACTACTAAGATGTACTTTGTTCACATAGGCCATCTTCATCTAGGCAATAGCCAATGGGCCCAAACAATAAAACCTAAGCCTAAAATTGTGCCTACTAACCGCCAATGGCCTTTGAAAATATTGACACATAACATTGTTTATATATTATTTACATGTATTGTATTATTAACTTAGAGGCAGTTCTTGTAATTTGCTTTCCTTATTTGTTTATTTACTATACAGGTACAACCCTCAAGGTTGGGAGGCAGTCTTTAAACCAGTCTCAGATACATGCACAGAAAGAGGATTCAAGTCACCTACGCCTTGGGGAGGAGGTGGGTAAAGATAAAGCATTCAGTTATTATGTCCCCTCATCTTTTTTTGTGACTGGAGATTGAAATTTGGTGTCACCGCCAGTGACAAATCGTTACATTTTTCACCAAAAACGGTGCCTTATTATTATGGTCTCCTTTTTTGTGCATGGATAATATAATTATCTGTATAAAGCCTTGTTGTATTTTTTACAAAGTGATGACATTTTGTCATGTATATGTATATTGCTTGTAATAGTTTTGGTCCTGAGTGTTTTATTTATTCCATTATAACACACCCAGTCAGTTAATAAACTCACTAATTGTGAGTATTTCTTTTTTTTCATTTTAGATGAGAATCGTTTGAAAGATGTCCAGGTCGTCAGCTTGCCAATAGTTGACAGTTTACACCCTCGTCCTGCTTATATGCCTCTTGCTATCCCAGAGGACCTTGCCCCGAGGCTCATCCGTCTCCATGGTAACCCATTTGTGTGGTGGGTAGGGCAATTTATGAAGTATTTATTGCGGCCACAGGCGTCACTCGCTGAAGATATGGCTGAAACCAAAGATAAACTGGGCTTTGAGAGCCCCATAGTAGGGTGAGATAGAATCATTAATGATCATTTAATATTTAAGTGATATTAGAATATGCAAAGAAATCAGCTTCATAAACCAGCCCCTACTAGTACATTTTTTTATATCCTAAATCACTATGTAAATTGTAGATGCCTTTGTTAATAAAGAATGAGGAACAAACCGTTTACAGCATCGAAACGAATCATTGAATATTATCTGATCTGAAAATCCCCGAAAAGTAAGCTTCCTCAGTTCACAAACCCCTTGGAAGTTTAAATAATATATTCATCTAGCTTGCATTAAAATCTAGAATAATGCAGATTTAGAGAGTGCATGTAGTTAAAAGAAAATAATGAATACTTATAATACCTTGTCATATCATACACATATTGTTTGATTTCAGTGTCCATGTACGTAGAACAGACAAGGTGGGCACTGAAGCAGCATTCCATTCAATAGATGAATATATGGTCCATGTAGAGGAATACTACGCGCGTCTCGCTAGGAGACAAACTGTACATAGAAAAAGAGTATATTTAGCCACCGATGAACCTAATTTATTAGCAGAAGCTAAACAAAAGTAAGTGCTGTATAAGAGGAGGAATACACCAGAATTCGTAGATGACCCTCATCTCAATGTAAACATGAACATCTAGAGCAAACTCCCATGCAGTGATATATCACTGCAGCGGGCAGGTATCTCACCGTAAGCATGGTAACTTCGTAATAACCAATTGACGTGATTGGTTCTAGTCCCATGCTTGGGTCGCGTGATTGTAGAATTTAAACACAACTTTTACTCAGAATTCCTTCCGCGGTGATGTCTTCTCATATTTCAATAATTTTGAAATATTTTTAAGAAATAATGATTGGGGAACATTCATGAATACATAGTATATTTATAAGTTGTGTGAAAATTGACCACATATATGATGAAAAGGGGAACTATTTTCACCAAATTTTGGGGATTACCTTCATCTGCCCGCCACAGTGTCTCAATGGGAGTTCGCATCTAGAGGTTCATCTTTGAATTGTGGGTATTTCCTCCTCTTGTAGATTATCAAGCTATTTATTATTGATGTGAAACCACCACCACTATAAGCACATGATAATTCATTTCATATGCTTATTAATCAACCTCTATTTAATAGATAGAAAAAATAGAATATTCCATTTTGATGAAAGCTTAATTTCCAAAATTTGTCTTTTTCTGACAGTTTCATCATCTTTATCAATTTTTCCATTATTAATGCATGATTATTTCCATGATTAATGCATGATTATTTCCTTGATTAATGCATGATTATTTCCTTGATTAATGGATGATTATTTCCTTGATTAATATATTTATGATTGCTTTGTTGCAGATACCCCAGCTATGTGTTCATAAGTGACACTGGGATTTCACAAACTGCTGGTCTTAACAGTCGCTACTCAAGCTCATCACTGCGTGGTGTTATTTTAGACATCCACTTCTTGTCTCTCACAGATCATCTAGTCTGTACTTTCTCTTCACAGGTAAAATTTGAAGTGTTTTTTTAATATATCATACCTGTGTGCAATGTTTCTCGTATCTCTGTATTTGGAATTAGTTTATTATTACATGTGGATGTGTTAGGATTTTAAAGATTTCTAGAATTGATTCTTTTATATTCATATTCTTTAAAGTCCCCGTCTAAAGTTTGAAAATATTTTTTTATCATTCAATTACTATTTGTCAGGACTTAAAAAGTGATTTTAGAGATTTTTGAACAAAAAATTTTTTTTGAAAAAAAAGTTGTGAGCATTTCATTTCTCAAATATTCAAATTTCCCGCCATTTTTCAAAAAAAGTTGAAATTTCTTAATCATCAAATATTTCTTAATGCATTTCAAAAAAGATTATATTTTAACACCAATGCAAAGATTGAACAAAAGACACACTATTTCAATAATAAAATGTCATATTTAATGGGCCACTTCAATGTTTTAGCTTATCAAAAATATTTTGAAACATTAGTGATGTCACTAAGGTAACAAAAACTTTTTGAAAAAAATTAAAATTTTTTTTTCGATGTCAATCTTTTCTAAATATGCTAGACTTTCATAAAAAACCAATGTTGATTGTCTAACCAGGTTAAAAGGAAGAATAAATTATGTTTTAGATATCATTGTACCATTGGTTTCTATGAGAACTAAAATTTTGAAATGCATTTTTCTCAGAACCATTTTCATGCACTGATAAGTTCATTTCTCGCTTGTTTATCAACCGATTTTCTTAATTTTTTCGGCAAAAAACATGGGAGGATGTATGCTATGCATTAGTATGAATTGTGGCTAATTAGAAGATATGAGTGACCTCTAAAAGTTGGTTTTGAATAAATTCACACATTTTGGAACAAAAAGTCTATCAAAAACCACTTTTTGAAATTAAAAAAAAAAGTTTCACATATCACACTTTGATAACATTGGGTAAGACTACAATATAAGCCAAAGTGGTTTAAACTTTACATGGGGCCTTTAAATAAATACAGTAGATGCTTTTTTATGTAGAAAAACAAATAAATTTACATAAGACATCCATTATATTGACTTAATTTGGTAAGAAATGTGTATATGTCAAATGTTAGCAACATGAAAAGACTGTGCTATATTTTCTTGCAGGTATGTCGAGTAGCATATGAAATTATGCAACATCTTCATCCTGATGCTTCATCCCACTTTAACTCACTAGATGATATATATTATTATGGTGGCCAAAATGCTCACAACTTACGTGCAATTTATGAACATAGTCCTAAATCTATGCAAGAGATAGGTTTCGAGCCAGGTGATGTCATTGGAATGGCAGGAAACCACTGGAACGGTTTCTCAATGGGCTCAAATCGTCAAAATTCAAAATCTGGGTTATTCCCATCATATAAAGTTGAAGAAATATATAATATTGTAAAATTTCCTACTTATTCAGAAGCAGATAAAAAGGGTAAAAGGTGAAATGAGTTACAACTAGTGAAACAGTAAAAGCAATAGATCAGATCTTCTTTATTGCTTTTAATTTTAATTCAGTTTTATTTTATAAATGAGTAAAGATCCTCTTTGATAAATATCAACATTTCTGCTATTCTCCAGTGGCATAAATAAGATATTGTTGTCAATAAGTTTTTAGATTTACTTTTTAGTTTACTATGAATCTATGGAAGATCTCTATGAAATCCGTATAGTTGTACTGAGCATTTATGTTTTTCAGTAACTTTGAAGTATAGGTAGTGCCAATGTACTATATACAAACAATTTGATTTCAGTAGCATTATCTAAGTTAGTTTTAATGTTTCTACTTCATAGTTCATCATCTTGTTGTTTTGTTGAGTTGTCTAAATACTAAGTTCCTTAGACTTCTCGTCATCTGATGAACCACCATTGTTGTGTATACAAAAGTATTAAGTAAATTAAATGGTAGGCCAAAGAATAAGCATCAACATCTATTAAAGTCTACTTGATGAATCTACTTGAGCAACTGAGAGTTACAACCCATCTTGTTAAAAATATGTTGGCACTCTATCGAAAAGATAAAATATTCTGATATTTTGTCCGAAGTTTCAAAATAAAAGTCCATGGAATCATGAATTCAATTTTACATTCAAGATGTATATTATATGGTTCTTTGTGTTAAAACAACAGATGCTGTTAAACTTTATTGGAGTCATCCAAAGCTTGAAAACCTACTCCACTGACATATAATGAATCAAATTTTAGATGTTATTCTAAAAGTATAAGTATGAATTTGTGTTCCTTTTGATGTTTATGTATTCATAAGTGATTCACCTGTATGTATTTATAAGTGATTTACCTGTATGTATTTATAAGTGATTCACCTGTATGTATTTATAAGTGATTCACCTGTATGTATTTATAAGTGATTCACCTGTATGCATTATAAGTGATTCACCTGTATGTATTTATAAGTGATTCACCTGTATGTATTTATAAGTGATTCACCTGTATGTATTTATAAGTGATTCACCTGTATGTATTTATAAGTGATTCACCTGTATGTATTTATAAGTGATTCACCTGTATGTATTTATAAGTGATTCACCTGTATGTATTTATAAGTGATTCACCTGTATGTATTAATGTATTTATAAATAACAATTTTGATTATAAATTTGTTTAGTCAAGATTTTACAGAGTAAATATATGCACATATACATGTAATGATCATATACACTACACACAATGTTCATATGATGCATATGATATATGATGTAAGGTACATGTTGGGCCAAAAAAGAATCCATATTTTGCATGAACTTATTTAGCCATTGCTGAAGATCTATTCTTAAAAGAAAATTTTTTGGAAATTCATGGCTTATTAAAACGTTTTTGCATAATAAAAATGTGGAAATTTTTGCTCCACGCTGTACATAAAGATTATGTACTCGGAGGTTATTAACACAGGTTTAGTCCAAAGGAGAAACACATGTGTCCTCATACGAGGAATTAACGCTGTATCCAAAACCAGCTTTCCATAACATGTATCCCATATCTATATCCAAGATTTTGAAAAATGGATTAATATTATTTATTCAAACATGACTGTATTCATGCCTTCTATAAACTGTGAACAAAGTCAATGCTTCAGGTGGGTTATATTCGAGATTAATGCCCCAGCTCTGTACTAGTGTTTCGTCCAGTGCACTCAATGGTCAGTTCAGGCTGTTCCGTTCTTCTTTCAATAATTATCAATGTAGTAGATATGTGTGAAACCAATAAAATAGGCCTAAATGTCAATAAAAAAGTCGGTCAGGAGGTAAGTAAACAAATTGGAACAGCCAAACGCTCAACCGGAAGTAGAAATGAACATCGAAATTGACGATTTTGCAATATTCTGGTGAGTTTTCATGTTCGAATCGGAATATAGACCTCAGAGTAGAGCTACTGGTTTCGAATACACCCCTTAGGTCTAGGCACAAAAGCTCGAAAACGTTTGTGCCAAGACCTGCGGGGTGTATTCGAAACTAGTAGCCCTGCTCTTCCGTCTATATTTCTTAATTAAACTTTAAATATGAAATTTTCATTAATAACTTCTTAAAAATTAGTGAAAAATGTACTTGGATCCTTAGTAGGTATGAGATACATATTTATACACTGTACATGTGTGTATGAGAGAGACAATCAGAATCACATATTTTGGCAACTGTTTAATTTCAAATAAATGTGAACATACACATTTTCAATCATTGTTTATATGTGTAATTGCTTGTATCATGTATATTGGTTCTATTTTACATCAATCTGAGTAATTATCAAGTACAAGTTGTAAGTACGTATGTACGAGTAGATGACATTGTAATTTACTTTATAATAAAACCTGTGAATTGCGCCATATTTCACTTCGTAACAGTGGAGAAACTATTATTAAATAGAGAAACAATCAAAAGCTGATTTACACAGTGATTGTCAGAACTTTCCTTTCATATATTATTTTGTATTATTATTACAGTATAATTTTAGTATATAGTGAGATGAGCATACCAGTGTATATGTCCTGTCAACACTTTGAAATATAATTTCATATTTTTGATCATTGTGTAGAAATGAATAAAGTTAGGGATGTTATCCAATTATCAACAGTTGTGGAATAATGAAGCTAGTTTCATTGGGGGAGGGGGTAAATGATGGTTTCATTAGCGAATAATGTTGATTTTTGATATTCAAGTGAAAGACAAATCAACATTTTAAAACTTTGTTAGATGAGGGGAGGGGGTCAAACTGTAATGAAATTAATTTTGTTCATCCACAACTGTTGATAATTTGACATCATCCCTTATGGGATTAAGATGCGCATATCTCCATGGTAACATGGATGAGAACCAATGAAAGTGTAACTCTAAATGGTTCTACTTAGAATAGCTGTTATATGCATATTTGTGGATCAATGTTATATCAGAGTATTTTTGATGTAAGATGTGTTTTATCATACCTAGTATTCAAATGTAGAAATTATGAGTAGTGCAATTATCACTATGCTTTTAAATTAGTATTTACAATGGATGATTTTATACTGAGATTTAATGAAATCCACCACATTTTACTTGTGTTACACATGCAAATTACATAGAAGCCTCAAGAATTACAAGTCATTATGGGCCTTGTAAAAGCAGGCTCTTACGAGTCAAGGCCCGTTGACTCAACGAGCTCTGTACGGGCTTGTATGGGGTCCGATGTAATTTGCCTGTGTATATTTTTAAATGTAATGTAAAACTTGCAGGCAAATTATATGATTAGTTTGGTTGGACTCTTGAGGGATTGTCTCCAATTATCAACAGTTCTGGAATGGAAACGTTTGTTTTGTTAGAGGGGAGGGGGGGGGGTAAATGATGGTTTTCTAAATGAATAGTGTTGATTTTATCCCATATTGGGCTCAGTAAGTTATATGGGTGTTCAAATTCATCCACATTTGAGAAAATAAGAATGAAGAAAAATATAGTGTAAAAAATAAAATTTATTTCACAGCAGCACATGCATTGTTATGTTATGTTGGAAGTTTATTGATATTTTGAACTGATAAACACATAGAGCAATGTACAATAATAAAATACATGAAATCTTAAAGAGAAAAATGTTTGTAACACAAAATAAACCTGGGAAGCTGCTTACAATACTCATTCTTGTATGCAGTTCTCAATTAATTATTAATTATTCAAATAAATAAAGGTGCAGAATTACGGTCCTATAAACTATAACAAGTCACAGAAAATACACTGAAACCTATATTAACAAATGTATTTTTTTAAGTGAACATCATTTCTTGAAACATATTCCATTCAATTGACATCTTCAAAACACTGTACTGAACACCCACTTACAGTGAACCATTTTTGTTGCTCCAAATATACAAGTATGTTCGTCACGTTTCAATGTACGCAATAAATACATTTATTCCATAATAACATGTTTTCCCTGGGAAATAAACCGGGAATAAAATTGATATTAAAAAAATCCCATATAAAATCCTGTATCAGATCCCTTTTCAGGTAGAACTATCAGATTTCATGTGACTGACTATTGTGTTATTATGGCATATTATGATCCATGTTGGTATTATATATTATTTCTATTTCAAAATTTGTTAATAAAAGTTGAAAATGTCATATGATAAATTAAAATTGTATTATTTTCTGTCACCATCATTGGGTGACGACATGCAAAATAAGTTTCAGAAAAAATATTATAGAGTAAATAGGTTATGGTCATGATGGAATATGAATTCTCCCTTGAGAAAATATGATATTGGCCTTTGGTCAATATGATATTTTCCTTTGCCACTATCATATTTTCCCTTGGAATAAAATTCATATTCCATCCCTCCCATTAAATAACCTCTATTTATTCCATAATAACATGTTTTCCCTGGGAAATAAACAGGGAATAGAATTGATATTCAAAAAATCCCATATTGGATCCCGGATCAGGCAAAATCCTGTATCAGAAATATTTTTGTAGTGTGGCTATTGAAATATACATAATAATCAGGGTCTCCATAATGTAAAGTGTAGACCTTTTGGACACCTTGTATATTTGTAAAGCCACCCTTTCAGTTTCTATAAATCCAATAATTGTAAGTCTCAAGTAATATATCAATGTCATAAACACAACAACGGATTCTATTATACTTAGCAATCAATAATAGCTATTCTCTATGGACTAGAAAGAAATGTTAATGACCACCTATAATGAAAAGTTCCAGTGAACAGTTTTGTTATTATTCGACATTGATGTGAGATCATGTTATTAACACAGCTTATGTACCTAGTCTTTCCCCAGTCAATGGTAGTCCACTCAAACTCCACTCTCAGCAAGTACAAGTATCTCTACGAATTTTGCAACTTTATGCACCTCTATTAAGGCTTATTTAACAGTTAATCCTACTGAGTAATGATTACATAGTGAGTTAAAAGCTGTCCTTATGTATCATTTCCACTAGGTGTCATGACACAAGATAACCTACATTTTCAAGGATTTTTGACATTCCAACTGATGCTATGGTTGGTTCTCTTGTTTTTTGTATAGCCCTGTAGTCCCAGATGACTCCCTTCATAGGCTTGGAAGCATAATTGAATTCATTGTCCATGTTGTACACACTGACACAAACTCTATTATGTCAGAATAATAAAGTAAATGAGTCATCATATATATTGTAACTGGTGTCATGTCTATCATGACATTGATTTTCAGTATCATGATGTATATA